CTCAATGCACTTTACATGCAGTGGAGGACTTTACGGGCTGCATATTAAAGGTGCTATTAGCAGCCATGCAGCTTACAATCATGAGTGATTTGTTAGTATGTTAGTATATTATGCCTCCAATTTGGGATAGGCTGTTGAACCGGGAGACAATCCATCCATCCATCCATTCATTTACATGTTCTTCGATTCATTATGTTGTTTATTCACAAATTTGGTCTTTCATTTTATTCCATACTATATTCATGCTTTTGCTCTGTTTACTGACGCGTTGTCCTCTCATTAATTAATTTTTCATTATTTTTTCCCCATTATTTATTATTGCCTTTACTTCCTTGTCATACTAGTGGTTTATTTGCTTATTGTTTAATGATGCAGGGTTTACAAAAAAAGGATAAAATTTTGAAATTTGGATCATTAACCCACAAGAATTTCCAAGGAATGCAGAATGTTGCATCCGTTGTAGAACACAGTAAAGGCGTAAGTATCTCTCTTGAGCAATGATATGTGTATAATTCTGTAAGGGTATAACATTGAGTCACAAAAGAGAACCTGTGTTATATTGGTGAGAGGCAGAATATTAGCAGCCCACACCACTCGTGCCCGCAATATGTAAGGGGTTTGTACAAGAGAACACAGTATAATGCACCAGTCAAAGTAAGCCCTGCCCCCCCCCCCCACACACACACACACACAGGGATATGTGGGGATTTGTTATAATTTCAGAGCAGCTTTTGGGGTTTGGGGTTTTCTTTGAACATCCATGGTGTGTTAACATTGTCTTGACTTCTCCAAAGGATAGGAAAGCTGCCTTAATTAAATACTTATAATACCTTTACTTCATTTTTTTTTCCATTTCAGAATTCAATGCCGATCATATTACTCAGAAATGAACAGAAATTAAGATTGTCTCTTATACCTAACCCATGGTCTGGGCGTGGCCTTCTGGGGTAAGTAGTCTGAATGTGTCTTTTATCTCTATTTTAAATTATCTTAATTTTTAAATTATAATTAAACAAACAACTTGGAAATTTTGGTCTCAGGCATTCTGTTTTGCGAACTCAGGTCTTAGGGAATCAAGGGTGGCGTATAGGTAATACGCTTGCCTCTCTTTTCTGGGGTCTCAGTTTGTATTCCCAGACTTAAGATCACATGTCTGTAGAGTTTGTAATTTTTCTCCCTTGTAGCAACTGCTTTTCTCTGTTTCTCTAGTTTTTCTGCAAGAACTTAACTAGCTAAATTCCATTTTGATCTGTGAGTCAGTCATTTTAAAATGTACCTTGACTTTGATCAGTCCAGAGGTTGTTTCAGGGTTTGATCTGAGAGTTAACCATGCCTTGACATAGATCAGCCCAGAGGTTTTTTCAGGGTTTGATCTATGAGCTAGCCATGCCCTGACTTAGATCAGCCAGAGTTTATTTCAGGATTTGATCTGTGGGTTAACCATGTCCTGACTTAGATCAGCCCATTGGCTAGTATTTGTTTCAGGGTATCAATAAATTTTGGAGGTTGGGCATTCCTAACACAGGAAAGCCATACATCTTCTTGATGACGTCTGAATTTTAATATATATATATCTATGTAATTTTAATTTTGTAGATGCCATGTTCTTCCTGCTTAATGGATCTTGAACTGGTATCCAAAAGGAATGGTTAACTAATGTGAGGTCATGTGGTATGCTCATTTGCCCTGTTCTTTGGCTTGGCGTCATCTTCTCTAACCTTGTGCCTCTAAATGGATGTTAAGAAGCATTTAACAGATGGCTATTGGTAAAGTATCTGGAAGAGTACTTATACATGACAAATTTTAACCTACGAAATGCAAAGCATATAAGAAAAAAATTAACAGTGATGGCTAATTTGATTCCTGATAAGAGTTTTCATTCTTTTAAAAGAAGTAAACATTACATTTATTTTACTTCCCCATCTCTCTTTTCTTTTTCTCATTATCGTTCTCTGAATATAACTGAAACCGAAACCGAAACTAGTGTCACGAACAACGCGCAAAAGAATTTTACCTCTGGGTTCCCGAGGTTGCCTGTCCTTTGCTTTTTCYTCCCTCATCGCAAATCAACCCTTAATAACTCGAATTGGTTGGAGCTGTGTGACACATGCTTTGTGACATGTATAGCAGGTGCCAGAGGCGCCTGACTTCACACGCTTTCAATTCCACTCCGTTGAGCTGCGCCACTGCTGTTCTTGCGGTTGTGAGTATCTATGACAAGAGCAATTTTCTCTGCAACTTGTCTCGCAACAGCGTTGCGACACAAGTTGCAAGAGGGTCTACGCGGTGCAACAGAGACACAATCGTTGCCAAAAGTAGAAACGAATTCTACTTTTCGCAACGATTGCTGCAACTTGTCTCGCAACGTTTTTCAAATTGCGCTGTAGATTACACGCTGCAATGCTCCGTACAACTTGTGTCGCAACGCCGTGACAAAGTGCAGAGAAAATTGCTCCGTGTAATCGCACCTTTAAGTGATTACGACATCCAGGATTCAACTTCCAAAGTTGGAAGCGAGAAACGAGCGACATAATTTTATCCCTGGTTTCCCGAGGATATTAAAGGACCGGAAAAACAGGAGATGAAGCGCTAAGCTAGTCGCCTGCAGTGAGGAGACTTGCGCTAAGACTCCTCAATTTTATCAATATCTCAGTCCGCAATTATTTTACTTTGTCACCTATATTTTTTAATCGAAGCGACCGCTTTCTCTGCAGTCCCTTGCAACTAAGGCCCCGTCCACACTTTGCCGGATAAATTTGAATCCGAATTTTAATTTATTCGGTTAGGCCTACCGTCCACACTAGTCCGGGCGAATCCGGAACAATTCTTCACCGAAAACGAATTTTCGAAATGGAACCGAATAAATAAAAATTCGGATTCAAATTTATTCGGCATAGTGTGGACGGGGCCTAAGTGTGCCAACAATGGAATGCAAAAATATAAACTAAAATTCAATACAAAAAAATTGAATTCAAACCGCCCATCGAGCACTCAGTCATAGTCCATGAGTGTGGGCTGATAACAGATGTTTTGGGTCATTTTTATTTTGGACAACAGCTTCCCTTCGGTTGACTTGTATTTCATTTGATTCATAGTATTGTACTGAATACAAATGCCACCCTACAGTAAATCCACTGATTTCTTGGCATTTCTTTCATTGAAAAACTTAAAATTATAAAGAAATTTTAGAAACTCTTATCTGTTTTGTTGTTTATTTTTTATGCTCTTTTTTGAAAATAAATGTGTTTATTTCATTGTAAATTTTTTTTTTTCAATGATTGATAAGGGAGAARGCCATTTCTTTTCTATCGGTCCTATCAAACACCACTTCCTTTTTTATTCTCCCCTTTTATGAACTTTTTACTGTTTAAATTAAATTCTATGTTAAAAATTCCCTTTATTGATATTGGAGAACGCTTCATATTTTTTTCAGATGTTCGTTTACTTTTAATATAAAATTTTTCCTTAATCAAACAGATTCAACAGTAATAAGTAGAGTTTCTGTAATAATTACTGACAATCTAGCGGGTTTCTGTTCAACTCAACGCAGTCGTATGAGAGGCTGGACGCTAAACTTAACAATGCCGGTCTCTTGGGGGGRAAAACCTGAATCAAACTCGGAAATAAATGGCGGCGAATTTATAAGGATTGTAAAAGCCATCGCATATGGCATATTATAGCATCGTCCTTGTAATTGTACTATGCGTTTTATGTGAGCAGAGTTGTTTGTTGGTTCTCTCTTGTGCTTCGATAGTTTTTCGCCGAGTTCTCCGGTTTTCCTCCCGCTCCGTAAAAATCAACTTATCTAAATTGCAGTTGGAATCCAGTGGAAGAAGAGCCCGAACCACACTTTTATTAATTTTCCACTTTGCATCTCGTTAAGTAATCGTCATCCCATTTCATTGTCCTTCGCCTTGGGTATAGTCAAGCATTTTATCTTATTGTTACGGGTAGCAATAGAGAACTTGAATGGGCAAATATAACTCAAAATACTCTTGAAAGCCTGTCTGTACTCCGTTATTCTTGCTGCGTACACCCACGGGTTACAAGCAGACGAAGCGAACGAAACAAGCGCTCCCCAAAACCACATGCGTATTATTCGAACTTTTAAGCAATTGTCTGAGGTTATCAACTGAATGGCAGTGATAACCATGCTTGGAAAAGCAAATAGCAAATAAAGTCCTATAACAATACCAATCGTGTAAGCTGCTTTTCGATTTTTAGTCTCGCTTCGGATGGTCTCCGATGTTTCCCTGGTGCTGATAGAGTTTTCAACTGCTTCGATTTGTCGTCTCTGTCGCCTAGCTTCCTTAAAAATAAAATAGTAGGAATATGCGATAATGGTGAACGGGATGGTATAGCATATGACAGCAACGACTGTCCACAGATATGGCAACATTAGAGGGTTTATTACAGCGAATCTCACAGCACCGAATCCAAACGACAAAACCCAGACCAACGCAATTGAAAGTACGCATCTTTTTATAGTCATCAGGTGTAAATATCGAAATACTGAAGTTACAGCAAGGTAGCGATCGTAGCTGACAAACGCGAGACTGTAGGTCGTGGTAAATAGCGTCTGCATGCTCATAAACTCTGTGAACATTGTCAGAAAGTGGCTGTTTTCCCAAATGTTCAGTACACTTTTAGTGACCCATAACGGGTTGATGATCAGTCCAACCGATAGGTCAGCTACTGCCAGGCTAGCAATGAAATAGTTGGATGTTGTGTGTAGAGACGGAGTCTGGAATATCGCTACGAGAACGAACAAATTCCCACCAACGGAGAACATCCCCGAAATGGTATGAAGAAATGCTAGGATGATGGACGTTGGGTAGTTCAACTCCCCGGAACAAATTGTCGTAAGATTGGACTGCATTGTTGAGTGCTTGCTCGTGGCTTCAGAGTTCGAAGTTATTAAAGGTAGTTTTCGGCGTTTGGTGGTTTGCGATTTGGAATTCAGTTAATCACAGTACACTAAGCCGTTAGTAGCTGATGATRTAGAAAAAGTTACCCGAAGACTTTCGATAGATGGAATTAAAATAAAGTACAGTAAAACAATGGGGAACGAAGTTTTGTGTTTTCAAGAGTTCGCAGTTATAATTTGCCTTTTTGTAGCTGTTGTATTTATCGTGCAGAGTTCCAGAGTTCCTTGTGGTCAGCTAAAGATTCGCATTTGAAAAAAAGAAAAAATAGAAGAAAGAAACTGTCTTGCACCGTACTCTACTAGCCGAGCTACCGCAAATGAAAAGTTCAATTCTCTAAACGACAATATTTAGTGAAAATCATTTTCATTAACATCTGCATATTGACCAACCAACTGGATGCATATCGATTGGTTAGTTCGATCAATGTTAATCGAATCAATTAACAATATGAACAATATGCTGTTTAAAGAGTTTCAACTCATTTCTCCCCATCCCATACTCCCTTTAATTTCCTAATCTATCCCATTAATCGCTTAAAAGATAAAACATTTACAAGTACATTTTTAAGTTCAAAAATTTTCAACCCTTTTGTATCATCATTGCCATGACTACCACCATCATTATATACCAATTTCAAATAAAGTTGTCATCGCCAAAGGCGATAGGCGATATGCAATAGGCGAAAAGCAATAGGAGATGGGTCATTCCAAGATCCAAGAATAGCTCAGAATGACTTGTGTTTCTGCTTCTTATTCTTGTCAAGAACATGGATCTTAGTGATGAGACTGATTCAATGCCAGTTCTTCAACGAAACCATTTCCATGTGGAATCGCTTATCGCCTATCGCCTTTCGCAATGACAACCTTTTTTGAAATAGGTGTACATATGATCCGTGTCGGTTATTGCTTTCTTTACTACTGTTTACTCATTTAGTTTCTTTACTTGTTATCTTAATTATTCCAAACACTCCTAAAACTTATTTTTACCCTTTGTTGTAAAAAATTGTGTCTCTCCTTGTGTTTTTTTCCTTTTTCTCCCGGCTTAGATCAATGTATTTGTTTTGGGATTCCAAATCAGCTAGTGTTTTCAGTGTCTTCCCTCCGGATACCTAGTAAATATATTCATCTCTTTTAGATCTTTAAAAGGATAAGTTTTAAAAAGCAATTATAATTATTTAAATCATTTGCGTCGGAGAATTAATAACTTGAGTTCACCCATCGAGAGAAGTGACAAAATCGTCTCTGTTCCTCCGCTTCCTACGCCCATGGATACGGGGGAAAATGGTTAGAAGAGTTTCAGTTAGATTTGTTTTCATCAAAAAAATAGAGTCTTCGAATAACTTTTCAAATAAGTTTTAGGAATGAGTGGTACCCGGTTTCGTTGCTAGGAAACATCACTCCTAGCTCCAAGGAGGGAGAAATTAGATCCATCAATCGGCACAATTTTCATTTAATAATAACCACCTAAAAACATTCATAATGATTTCATCCGGAAATTCAAAAAGTCTAATATTACAGAACCGTATTATTTTCGGGCGCCTTGGGTGGGAGGTCGACAGCTGTGGTTGCATAATTAAGAGATCAATCGCATGCTAGTTTTTGCTAAACAAAAAAAAAAAAAAAAAAAAAGCTGCAACAGTTAATCCTTTCTATTTGAGAATGAAAACAGCTCGTTCGACCGCGCATGCATGCGCGTATAAGTACTATTCAAATTATTAAGTATGGAGTTAAGCTGGCTGTGAATGACAATTCAGAAAACCAGTTATTAGTTAAAAGTCGACTTTTAGGAAATAATTATCCCGATAAATACTCCTGCTTTGTATCCGAAATTAAATATAATTCTCAATTGTTTTGTGAAATTCTCGACTCTTCGTCTCTCGTAGTGTTTAAACGACTAGCACCCGAATGGCCGGATGGAACGCTATCCCACGCGCAATTATTCAATGAGTAATGATAGCACTTGCATCGTAATTATATTTATCGACCTTTTAGTACCAATATGGACAGAACGCCGGGGTGTAGTGCATAAATTAAAGACAAGTCTTGCAGAGCAAGTACCAAATCATGGCTCGGCAAAATTCTGTGGCTTCTTTCTCCCATTTTGTCTGGGATGGCGAGAAATGAGCGACAGAATTTTACCCCTGGGTTCCCGAAGATAGTAGTAATACGACGTCCTGCTGTGTCTCGTTTTAAACACTTTAAATCTTTAGAAACACCTACAACTCGTGTATTATTAATGCACTGACGGACTTGAAAAATCTCCTTTCTGACTTGTTTTTGACTGTCAATTCAAGCTGCCTTCGTATCAGATTACGGTTTTCTTCATCATCCCGATCAACAGTTTCCGTTTTGTTTTCTTAGTTCGCTTGTTTCCGCGACTAACTCCGCCCGGCTTCTAGTCTCCCTCGCATCCGTTTTTAGTGTCGGTTGTCACGCAACGCTCCCTCTCCACACTAAAAACAGATGCGAGGGAGACTACCCGGCTTCCGGATAATTCAAAATCGAACTTTATCATAAGCATCTTTGTAAATCTAATCATTTTAGATCTTTTCAAATTGGAAGAGGTTTCTCCGGGTTCTCTGGTTTTCTCCACCTTTCACGAAACCCAAAATATTAAATTCCGAGTTGATCCGCGAGTTAATCGGGTTGCCCTGACTTCGAGAAGCTCAGAGAGCGTTTCAAGGTTCGATAAAATTTAAAAATGAAAAAAAAAAATATCGTAATTGAAGAATATATCGAAATTATCAGTGATTGCGTTTTATCACTTTGGACAGTATAAAGGCTAAGTAAGCAAAGTAAACGCTTTGACAAATATTAAATAAAGACACCGGACGTAGCTTGTTGTTGATTGAAATTCAATCTGTGATGTTTGGCTTGGCAAGAAAAAAAATAAAATAAAATTGTGAGTAATTTAGCGCGCGCAGTAAGGCAGATAGTAGTTGTAAATAAATCCCTTATTCATCACGTTTGCGTTCATTTATGCATCCAATTATGAGTGAGAATAGGTTCGATAAACACGAGATCGACAAACCATGGTTTATTTGATTATCAGGCCTGTGCAAACATGTTAAATTTTGAAAACCGACTATTCCCGTGCGCGCGTAGCGCTAGAGCTTTTGAATTTTTTACGCCCCTCCAATAGCAAGTATATATCCGTTTTCGAAAAGGTACCTTCTCAAGGCCTATTCTTGACAAAAAAATCAGTTTCAAAGATTATCCGGGTGTGGGTAGACGGGACCTTAGTTTTTCCAAATGATGAAACAATATTGTTTTGTAAAAAACCCCGTTACTAAGGCAACGCTGATTTTTATGGCGAACTGCATGTGGCATTCTTGCAGGTTTTTTATGAGTTCTTGGCATTCAGTTAATCTTGTTAAAATGTTCTCATACGAACTCTAATGAAACAATCAATTTTATATTCGACGAAATGTTTCAGTGCCATATTCTTCATTTGGATGTCAACAAATGGTGTCGCGCTTTTTACTTTTTTGTTTTGTTTCTGTTCGTTTGTTGCTATTTTTTTTTCTTCTTTTGTTTGTTTGTTGTTTTGTTTTTTGTTCAGTTTATTTTAAAGAGTTTCAGAGTGAAATCTATGAAATAGTTATAGCTACCATTTTGCTTAAACTCTTCGTCGAAGCTAAAACAATAGGTGACAACAAAGATTGTACTGGGAGCTCCGCTTTTAGGCGGTCTAGTGACCAACTGGTAAAAATTGTCGCTATCCTGAGTTAAATCCAAAGAACTGATTTTGACTAGCCCGGATCAGGTTTATCATTTTTAGGGGCGCAAATAGAGGAGGGCTATTTTTGACCGGCTAGTAACCGGCCTCTAATCGTGCGTACTCTGAAATGAGCCTCTTTATTTCATTGTTGTTTTTCGGGCCATTTGTATCTACATTTATTACTTTTTCGTTCCTCCATTGTGCCCGCGCTGTTTCAAATTCTATTTGAACAAGTTGTGTTTTCTCTTGAAAAATTAACAAAATCTTGTGTACATCGGTGTCATTTTCGAAACTGTTTCTCAAAAGAAAATGAACTTAATTAAACAAAGTGTATGTTTCTGTTCAAAGAAATTAACAAAATTCTTTGTACATTTTGTCAGGTTTTCAAGTGTTCTTTATTGTAGATTGTTCACTTGTTGTGTTGTTTTTCGATTTTTCAAAAAAAAAATTTTATTTTTATCATCGAACACCTTGATATTTTGTTTGTACTGATAATTGAATATAGTTTCGTCACTGCGTCACATTTACAGGTGTTTCTCTAAATGAACATTCTTAATATATGTAGTTGTATAAGACCATTGAGCTTGACAAATGAAGCCAGATTTTGTCCAAATGAACAAATATCACTGGGAAATCGAGATACTCATCGTATCGTTTGAACGATTGTGCGGTTTTGACCCAACCGTGAAAAAGTTAAATACCAAAATTGTACGAATTATAGTGCAAATGTTTGTAGGTCTACGGATTAGAGTGCAAACAATTAATCCGTGTAACACTAATTACTAAATGGTACAAAATAGTGCCAATTAAACWATAGAAAACAATGGAATTTGCATGTAGTTGTGCTATTTAGTATTACTAAAGTTTCACGGTCATATTGTTTGCACTCTACTGAGGTCTACTGAACTTACTAATTTGTGCAAATGTGTGCAGTTTTTTACAAAATTTTTAATGAATATATATTGTATTGATTAGTTTTCCTATTTGCAGGTTGTTGTGTTTTTGTAAATTTATTTATTGTAATTAATAAGATAAAAGTGTGTATTAGATATCTCATTCCCTTGGGAATCAGTTTGCAAATCCCTATTCGTCCTCAGATTCAGCTTTCAGGGATTGATAAGCAGTTTCCCCTTGTTTTTTCCTTCGTCCATCAATCCATAGAAGAAGATTCAAGATGGCTGCGACCATTATGGCGAGTGCTGCATCCACTCTAAACGCCGTGCGAATATCAATAACCTTGATTATGACACCACCAATAACAGTCCCAAATGAAATGCCTATCCCTGTGTAGATGCCATTCATTAAACCTTAAATGAAGGAAAAATTTAAAACATGTAATAAAAATCAATTATATCGTTATAGCAAAATGCCTGTTCCAGAGTATACTATCCTTAAGCTACGGACAAACGTGCAACATAGTGCTCAGTGTGTTGTAGACAATCGATGTTGCGAGCCATGTCACACGACGCAATTTTGTTGCACATGTTGCTAATGTTGAGGGCAATTTTACACCGTGTATTCTCGCCTTTACTCCAAGAAAAAGCGCTGCCATGTTAAAAGTAAACTGTTTAAACTCGATTAATACAAAACAATTATCGCCGTTATGGCAAGATGCCCGTTGCAAATGTATGTTATATTTACTCCATGAAATAGCGCTGCAGTGCCAAGGTGGAAGTGAACTCATGAATATTTACAGAATTTTGAAGGCGTTGAATATTAATTCAAATCATGGCGACATGATTTTATCTCCAAGGCCAATCCAAAAGGGCGCTAAATAGTAAAGTATTTCATAAAAGGGGGAAAAATTGAACGGGTTAGAAATAAAAATTCCGCCCCGATTCATTATTAGCAGTTTTTATTCCAGATCAAATTATTTCATTTAACCGCATGTAGAACTTAAAAAAGATACATTTGTGAGCAAAGGATCATATCATATTCCTAAGTTATTTGAACTTGAAAACATTACGCCCCTTCTGTACTACTAAAAGGATCGCCTTTCTCGGCACGGAACACCGGACAAACCACAGGGATCCCAAATAAGTATGTGTTTAGGTTGAGAGTTAGATGTTAGTTAGGTAGTAGTTAGGTTAGTTCATGGCTCTTGCTCAGACAATGGCTAACCAGTTACTGATGCAGCAGTTTTCCCAGTGGAATTAAAAATCTTGTTCGAGAAATAACTACATAGTACATGTTTTAAAGAGTAATACGAGGATTTCTCTTTTTTTCACAGGACAGTAAAAATTTGAAACCATTTCAAATAATCAATTTTCGGCGATTAGAGATTCACATGTAACTGAATTCTGAGACATTCTAGCTAATTTCTTTGAGCCGGCTTGTGGAGCATAGCGACGCTAACTAACAGGAGTCGGAACCATGAATTAGGTTCGCACAAGGCAAACGGTGAAACGGTTGCACGCAACATTGCTGGCAAAAACATTTTCAAGAGATATCACAAGCGGTAAGGCTGCGTTCATTATGTATACCGCAGGGGGGGGGGGTCACAAAATTTTTCAGGTGTTCAAGGGGGGATATTAAATTATTTTTGTAATGGTAGGGGGGATGCTGATTTTTCTGTCAACAACAAATGACTATTAACTAACATTTAAAACTCAACAAGAAATTTAATGAACAGGATAATTGTACAACACTATTTAGATAACATTGTAATCTTGATCATCATCATCATCTTCAATTTCATCACTATTGTCATAATCATTATCATGTAAAGGAAACACGTTATAGCTGTATCTTTGCCCCCGAAATTATTCAAAAATTATTCAACATCCGTAAACTATGTTCCTCCCTTGTTAGAGTCCTGTATACGCGTTTCCTTTACATGCCCYACTTCCTATACGTAGATAAGGATAGTTRGTMTTTAAATAAAGGACTTTAAACTTTTATTGTAAAACTTCCTGAAGAAGTGTACAGAGTTGTAGGTAACGCGTAGGAGATATAAGATAAAAAGTTTAACAATTTAGCATCCTAAGTGCTGCTCACTGGTTCCTTTCAAAAAAGTTTCAAAAA